AACAAATCAGTTTTTGAAAGTTTGACCTAACCCCCCTGAGCTTCAAGTAACAAGTAATTCCCTTTGAATGGAGGTAAAATACATTCACTTCAGCCAACTTTCATTTCTTGGTGGTAGTATATTATCAAATTGATTTTAATGAGAGCATCTCAATTCCTTGCTCAAGATCTCTTCTGATAGATCTGAGTTTTTCTTTTTTCCAGTGTTGAGATTTAAGGATTTAGTATAAATCTCGAGTAGATATCCTTAATAGGATAATTGCTACATTTTACCAAAAGCATTTTCTTTAACTGAGGAGAAGATAAGAGCAAATCTTATCTTTTAGAGTCTGTTAAAATTGTTTAGCTCTACCCTGCATTTACTTGACATCTTGCAACAGTAACAGTAGGATCCCATTTTATTAGAACTATCCTGGGAAATTCTTTAAATTATCTTCTCAGATGTGGCTTATCCCACCATCTGCCACCACTGCAGAAAATTTAACATTGAATTCAAACCCTTATTTATGCCTTATCTTTTGAAGTTAACCAGGATGCTCAGAAGATAAGAACAAACAACCTCAGTAAATGCATATTAAGCATCTACCCCTGCCTAGCACTGTTCTAGGTTCTAAGCTGTCCCTGCCCTTTTAGATCTTATGGACTAAAAGGGGAGACAGACCGTCTTACAATATTATAAGCCTTTTAGACAACTGCTGTAACAGGATATGGCTCAGGGTGCTGTTGGAACACAACAGAAGAGTGTCTATCCCACTACTTGGGCTGGGGTGGGGGTGGGGAGAGGTATGAGTGTGAGTGTGTTTGTGTGTGCATGAGGCATTGGAGGTGTGTTTGGAGAGGAGTAGTGGTCTCCTTGGCAGAGGGAAGGGAGACAAGAGTGCCAGAGGTAGTTTATAAGCTGAGACCCAAAGGATAGAATAAGAATTATCAAGGAGAAAGAAGGGAGACTAGGAAGAATGTTCCTAGAAGTAGTAAGATCATGTGCAAAGGCCCAAGGACAAATAAGAATGTGCATTCAATTTAGTATCTCAGAAACGTGTTTCTCAAACTTTAGTGGACAAATAAATCACTTGAGTTTAATGTCAAACTGCAGATTTTGATTCAGGAGCTCCAGGAAGGGACCTGAGTTCCTGGGTATCTAACAAGTTTCCAGGCAAAACCAATGCTGGTGCCTCATGGACCAAACTCTGAGGAGCAATATATGGACAATTCAATTCCCAGTAACTGGACACTTCTGTCTCTGGAGAATAACTGAATATTCCCTGGGTCATTTTCACTATTTATGGTGACCTACTTATTCACACTGCATGAATCATTGATGATGGCAGTACGGTGGCGACTCTGCGCCTCATTTATTTATACGTGAGAGTTCACACAAAGAAGTCTGCTTTATAGAAGGCTGGTTTAAAGTCAATACTCAAATTTTACTTTTGCCCCTCTTCCCTACCTTCTTCTACCCCCTCACTGAGACACATTAAACAGTTTCAGCATGAAATCAGTCTGAAAAGACGTGCTTAATAAATATTGTCAACACTTGTCAAAATCAAAGGAAAATGTCCCAGGAAAGAACTTGCAGCCTTACTTATTAGAGGCAAGTTATGAGGCTGTACTGTATTTTGACAGCAGTTCTTTTCATGTAAATTTGAGCTCATTTTAATAAATGCACAAGTTTCCTGTCACTGCCATCTCTGCTTCATCCTAGAGCAGCAAATGTTCTGCTTCTCTGAACACAAAGGACAGCATCTTTGCAAATACTGTAAAAATTCCATCTCCATTCCAAAGGCATGGGAAGAGATTGGGCTTGGTTTTAAAGTCACCTGTTGGAAATTCACACCCATCTCACAAGATTTAAAAGATCAGCCTCCCTACATATGTTTTGGATATTAGGCATCATTAATGTGATATATAATGTGTTTATATTATATATCTGGAGACAAGAAGATGCAGTTACTTTGAATACTGGTGCATGAAGTTCCATCACATGTGATAGGTAATGCATGGATTTTCCTCCCGCCATGTGACTCTACTTCCTCAATTAATTATTCCAACAATAAGCAAATATATGTGCGTGTGTGTGTGTATGTATGTATATATATATATATATATATATATGTATTATATACACATATAATTTAATTTATTTATCCATGCTATACAGGCTTAGCATTAGAACAAATGGAATGAGCCCTGTAGGCAAGCAGCAATTCACTTTCTCACCTTCATTTCCAATTAAGATCTCACAGTCATCTTAAAGGCAGAAGGACTTTCATACCAAGATATCTGTGGATATATATATATATATATATATATATATATATGTATTATATACACATATAATTTAATTTATTTATCCATGTATGTATGTATATATATATATATATATATATATGTATTATATACACATATAATTTAATTTATTTATCCATGCTATACAGGCTTAGCATTAGAACAAATGGAATGAGCCCTGTAGGCAAGCAGCAATTCACTTTCTCACCTTCATTTCCAATTAAGATCTCACAGTCATCTTAAAGGCAGAAGGACTTTCATACCAAGATATCTGTGGATAGACGTGTCATTTCTTACTTTTACTAGATGAGCTCAGCAGTTTTTAAACTTTTGAGTGCATAAAATGTACTATAGCAAGTTGTTTATCTAAAGCTATATAAAATGTGCTTTATGGACAAATAAGTAATTTTCAAGGCTGATCTTTTACTTTTCTCTATTTTCACATTTCCCCCTGATTTTGGACCAAACCAACTCTGCCCAAGTTAGATGTGATTTATCTCTTGAGCAAATGGTGATCTTTGAAGCACTGCTTCTACTGTTTTATATCAGGAATGAGACCTCAGGCTTGAGGTCTGTCTCAGCTTTACTTCTCAGCCTGTCTACTTCCCACTCCCAGGGGCACTGACCCTGTGAAAAGACATGGGAGATGTTCTAATGGCCAGACATAAGTCCTGGCATGGCCTGAATGGGAAATGAGCTACTAGCTCCCCAGAGCTGCCTGGGAGACACAGCAGCATCAGTACACAGAGCTGTGGGGACTCTACAACCTGTCTCCCTGAACTCCTGCACCCAGGGCCATGGCTGGCTGCTAGAAGAAATACGTGTGATTTCCTTGACTCAAGGGCCAAGTTATTACAGACTGAACTTAGGTTGGTCTATAGACTTACCTTCCACATATAAGCAGTTTGGAACCTAACAATGAAATTTGCTTGGCCTTTGGGTAATAAAAGCCAAAGTGTCCTGTGGCCAAGAAAGCATTCAGACGGACATCTACACTTGGGTTTGGGGCAGAGTCGCACTTAAACGGCACCTTGAAAAGTTATTTACCCCACATTGTAGGAAACCAGTAAAAACAGAGGCTGAAAACTCAGACCTGCTGTGATAGTTTGCAAGTGACTTGCAGAGCTAGGAGGAAACCACAGCCTTTAGTCTAAATATGGCATCCATAAACGAAGAGACTGAGACCCAGAAGACCAGGTCGCACACTAGCTTGAGACTGAGAGCTGCCAATTTTCTTTTCTTTCCTTTCTCCCTCCCTTCCTTCCTCCCTCCCTTCCTTCCTTCACCTCCTCCCCCTCTTCTTTTTCTTTTTTCTTCTTCTCTCTCTTTCTTCTGTCATCCTTCCCCAGTTAAGCAAAGATAACACTGATGATACTTTCATTTACAAAATGAAAAGAGAATCAAAAGGAAAGGAGGATGGTTTTGTTTCAAAGATAACACAGGGAATCCTTTCATTTATATTAGGTTCGTTCTAGTCCTCAAGGTGACAATGACTCAGAAAATATTATATAAAAATGTTAAATGGAACAAACTTTACTTGAATTATTCTGTGCAATTTTTGCCTGGATCTATGATTTGCTACATATCACCATCAGTAATCATTTTTTAAAATGCCATTCCTAGTAACTAATAATGGAAAAGCCAACAGACTATACTCATGGACTGTTTGACTTAGGGCTAATTGCAATGTGATGAAAACTGAATAGTTCAGTACTTGAAACATGAAAGTTATCTGTTGGTTAGAAATACTTTGTTTATTTAACTGATATTCTATTTAGTGCTTCCTTTAAGAGAAAAAAAAATGTACATGTTGGGTTGAAATTGCATACAGAATGATTAGATTATATTACAAAATGTATTTTAATGAATTGTACATGTTTTATGTGGTCAACAACAATGATAAAATGTGTAGACTTGAGATATCAGTTCATCTTTTAATTCTAAATTATCATTTTCAGAAGAGAAGTATTTAAAAATGTTTGAAAGGTGTAGAGTGCTTTTTTTGTATTTAAATGAGGCTCAATTTTACATTTTCAGTCGTATCATGAAAAGCAGGTTTTATAATAATTTAGACTTTTATCACTTCTTGAAAATGTAGAAATAATTTTAAGTCTTTAAAAATATTTATAAAGCCCTATACATAGTCAAGCCAACCAGCAGAGATTCAACAGGGATAGGAGGAAGGGATATAAGTTTAGAATTTTGGAGACAGAGAAGTTAAGGAACTGTCTGCAGTCACAGAGATGGTAAAGGAATGACCTACATTTTCTAAAGCACATTCACTTTTCATGGTACCATTCATTTCCTGATTAAAATTATGTTTTACCTTCATTTTATAAAATAAAATGAGTATTTTTTTATGCATTGGTGTTAGCGGAGCTGAATTAATATGGCAATTGAAAAGGTTTTAAAACCACTTGCTTAAGAAAAGATGCTAACACTGCTACGCAGAGGTGATTGTGTTCATGAAAGCACTGCGGAAGGCATTGGGCTGCAGTGTTATTTTAAAAGTAGGACAGTCCCTAGTGGCTCCCAGTTACAAAAATGTACATCAGAGATGTCCATTTCAGCAGGAGGCTTTGCAGTGTTTAATGCAATCTGAAAAGATGAATTTTGATAAAACACGTTGTGCTTGCTTCACTCTTCATTTGCAAATATGGAGATGACTCACTGGAATGTGTTCTCTTTTGTGTTTGGGGCACAAACAGCAACTTGGAGTCACCACTGATGAATGCAGTTTCGGAACCACAGCAGGGCGGTGGCAGCAGCTCAGGAAGCAGCCCGGGTAACTCCATCAGGGCTTGTAAGAAGGTAACCTTGCCTTATACCACCCTCTTCTCACCAGTTGAACTTGAACTCTAGTTTAGATTGACCTTCAAACACTGTTTCTAAAGGAGAAATAACAAAACCAAATGATAAAATGGCTCACATTTTGCTTCTCAAATAAGTCCTAGTGACATTAAAAAATGTAATTCATGCTGTAAAGTTGTTTGAATTCCTTGTATATTCTGGATATTAATCCTTTGTCAGATGTATATTTTGCAAATATTTTCTCTCATTCTGTTGGTTGTCTTTTCACTCTGTTGATTGCTTCTTTTGCTCTGCAGAAGCTTTTTAGTTCGATATAAAATCCCATTTGTCTATTTTTCCTTTGGTTGCCTGTGCTTTGGGGGTCACATTCATGAAGTCTGCACCCACTCCTACTTCCTGGAGTGTTTCCCTGTGTTTTCTTTAAGGAGTTTTATTGTTTCAGGATGTATATTTAGGTCTTTAATCCACTTGGAGTTGATTTTGGTATATGGTGAGAGGTACGGGTCTACTTTCATTCTCCTACATATGAATATCCAGTTTTCCCAGCACCATTTTCTGTTGAGGAAGTCTCTTCCTCAGTGTGTAGACTTGGTGCCTTTGTCAAAGATCAGATGGCTGTAGGTTTATAGGTTGATTCCTGGGTTCTCTATTCTATTCCATTGATCAGTGTGTCTGTTTCTATGTCAGTACAATGCTGTTTTTGTTATTATAGCTTTGTAGTATAGATTAAAGTCAGGTAATGTTATGCCTCCAGCTTTATTTATTTATTTATTTGCTCAGGATTGCTTTGGCTATGCGTGGTCTTTTGTTATTCTATTTAAATGTCTGGATGGCTTTTTCCATTTCTGAGAAAAATGTCATTGGAATTTTGATTGCATTGAATCTGTAGATCACTTTGGGTAATATGGACATTTTCACAATGTTAATTCTTCTGACTCAAGAGCATGGGATATCTTTCCATCTTCTTGTGTCCTCTTTAATTTCTCTCAATGGTGGTTTGTAGTTCTCTTCATAGAGATTTTTCACATCCTTGGTTAACTTTATTCATAAGTATTTTAATTTTTTGGTGGCTATTGTAAATGAGCTTTCTTGATTTCTTTTTCTGCATGTTCACTGTTGGAGTGTAGAAATGCTACTGATTTTTGTGTTGATTTTGTATCCTGCAACTATGCTGAAATCATTTATCAACTCTAAGAGGTTTTTTTTGTAGAGGCTTTAGGCTGTTCAATATACAGGATCATGTCATCTGCAAACAGGGACAGTTTGACTTCATCTTTTCCAATCTGGATGCCCTTTATTTCTGTCTCTTCTCTGATTGCTCTGCCTAGTACTTCCAACACTATGTTGAGTAGGAGTGGTGAGAGTGAGCATCTTTGTCTAGTTCCTGTTCAGGATGAGATTGGCAGTGGGCTTATCATACATGGCTTTAATTTTGTTGAGATACTTTCCATCTACACCTATCTTGTAGAGAGTCTTTATCATGAACAAATGTTGAATTTTGTCAAATGCTTTTTCAGCATCTATAGAGATGATCATATGGTTTTTGTCTTTGCTTTTATTGATGTGGTGTATCACATTTATTGATTTGCATATGTTGAACCAACCTTGCATCCCTGGAATGAATCCCACTTGATCATGGTGTACAAATTTGTGTATGTGTTGCTGTATTCTGTTAGCTTGTATTTAATTGAGGATTTTTGCTTGTATATTAAAAACCCAATTAAAAAATGTGCAAAGGAACTGAATAGAGATTTCTCAAAGGAGGATATATGAATGGCCAACAGACACATGAAAAAATACTCAACATCACTCAGCATTTGGGAATCCAGTTAGGATGGCTAACATCCAAAAGACTGAGAATGATAAATGCTGGAGAGATTATGGAGAAAAAGGAACTCTCATACACTGTTGGCAGGACTTCAAAATGGTGTGGCCTTTATGGAAAATGGTATGGAGGTTTCTCAAACAATTACAGATAGATCTACCACATGACCCAGCTATTCCACTGCTGGGAATATACCCAGAGGAATGGAAATCATCAGGCTGAAGGGATACCTGTACTCCCATGTTTATTGCAGCACTATTTGCAATAGCCAAGAGTTGGAGCCAGCCCAAATGTCCATCATCAGATGAGTGGATAAGGAAACTGTGGTATATCTACACAATGGAATACCACTCTGCTGTAAAAAAGAATGAAATACTACCATTCACAACAACATGGATGGACTTAGAGAAAATTATATTAAGTGAAACAAGACAGGCACAGAAAGAGAAATACCACATGTTCTCACTTATTTGTGGGAGCTAAAAATAAATAAATAAATATACAAACAAAGAATGGGGGGAAGAAGACACAACAATCACAACAATTCCTTGAACTTGTTAAGACAAGTGAACAGATATGATGTAGTGGTGGGAAGGGAGATAGGGAAGGGGAAAGAGGAATGGGTAAAGGGACATAAAAATCAACTACGATGTATATTGAAAAGTTAAAATATTTTTTAAAAATGTAATTCATGAAAATGAGCAGAAAACTCAAGCATTCTGGTAAGGTATAACATGAAAATTATAAGCCTGCATTGTCATACCACCTCAGCCCCAACATTTTTTCAAACTTAGTCATGGAAAACAGCTTCTTGGATCTCCTTTCAGAAAAGTCTTTACAGGTTTGAATGACTCAACTTATTACATTAAGCTCCTAAGTTTGCCTCTAAGAAAACTTAATGACTTTTCTCCTTTATATTTTCCTGAAGGGAAGGGTATGCTTGGCTTATTTTATTAGGAGAAACAGAATTGAATTTTCTAGAATATAGAATTTAGAGACAATAAACAATCTTGCTTTAAGATACTTGCAGAAAATTGCTATTTGAGCAACATAAAATCATCTAATTTAACTACCTCATTTTTCCAACCAGTACAACTAAAGTCCAGAAACTTAAAGTAAAAATCCCAAGATCCCAATTCCCCACCTAACGTTCTGTTACTATTTGATGCTGAATTTCAGAACAGAGTGTGTTTTTGTCTCATCCAAACTTATTAAAAAGTCTTATAGGTATAAATTAAGACAAATTCTGCTACTAAGCATATTGTGCATATAGATTATGTACAAGAGCACTTAAGAAGTTCATGGAAAGATTCATATTATCTTTTAATCCTATTTTTCTACAAATTTTTTGAAGTATCCTCATTATGTATGCAATATAAATTAAATACATGCATATGTGTGTGTGTATATGTGTATACATGTATTGATATATGTATACAGACACATCAATTTGTTGGTTACTGTACCTAGTTAAGCAACCTTATTTTTTTCCATTTCTAGTAAGCTTTCCAGTTTATAAGTATATCAATTAACAGATATCAGCACTGGAAACATCTATTTATTATATAAAAGTAGCATTAAACATACATTTATGAAAGTATTTGCATGTATTTATTCATAACCCAATATAAAAACAAACCTAATTAATTAAGAGCTCTTAGTAGTACATGTTTATGATCTAATATTCCTTCTCCTCTTATGAAATTCTTATAGGAAAGTCAGTGCTATAATTTTAGTTTTTAATGCAAAAAACTGAGGCATCATAATGCAAAATGATTTTGAATTACTTATAAATGAGTTAAAACTGCATGTCCCTAAGCCTTAGGTATATTCTATTAAACTCTGTAACTTCAAATTATAAAGTCTTCATCAGATGCTGTACATTTCACAAGCCTAAATAATTTAATTCATTCTAATTTTACAAATAAGTATATTCCTATTGATTAGAGTTTATGTGGTATTTAAAAGAAGATTAAAGCCAGACTGCTTGAATATGACAACCAGTTCCATCATTACTAGTTGTACAATCTTGAGCAAATTACCTTACTTCTTCATATCTCAATTTTTCCTCATGTGAAAAATGAAGATAATAATATTACCTACTTCACAGGGTTGAAGTGAGCATTCAATGAATTAACAGATGCAAAATGTTTAGAACAGTGCCTATCATATTGTAAGCACTCACAATAAAGATTGCCTAATGCTAACATTATTCTACAGAATAATTTTGTCAACAAGTGTACAGTCTCAGAAAAAATAATTCCAATATAGGTATTACCATGCTGAGAGAGTTTGTGATTTATAAGCTGTTATTTCATCTATACTTATTTCCTTGGAAAATAGATAGTCATTTTTTTTTAAATCACATCTGGAAGCTACTGAATTGACAGAGCTGTTTGGGGCTGAATGTTTACTTGAAAAATTAAAACCAAAATTTAATCACCAATTCTAAATGACTTCATCAGGATATACACACACACACACACATATATTTCTGTGTGTATGTGTGTATATACATATATATTTGTGTGTATACATATAAATATATGTGTGTGTATATATATATTTACCAATAAGAATTTAAAGTGTTAAATATAATTCCACTTATTCCACAGTTGTTTCTAGAACAAGTAGGTTGGATCATATAAAATTGCCTTTTTTACATATCAAAAATAATCAAAAATAGACAACTTCATGTTGTTCCACCTAATACACTCAAAACTCTGTTTGATCTTGGGGAGAAGTAAAAGGATTGATCATAAATGACCCCCACCATTGAAGAATTTACAGTCTGGTTTGAGAGATAATACTGGTTTCTCGTGTGAAAAGTCAAGCAGTAATTCATAAGTAAATAATTATGTGAGATAACTTATAGCAATATCTCAAGAAAGTATAAATTATGTGTAAAAAGAGTGTTATGGGCATTAAAAGCAAAGAGACAAAAAATTCAGCAAGGAAATGAATCTTTAGACTGGAGAATAAACAAGATTTGAATGGGGAAAAAAATATCCAACCAAATTTAGGAAGGGCTGCTGCAAATTAATGCAGAAGAAGTCAACAACTTTTTGAACTTTTTGAACTTCCAGAAGATAATGCATTTGTTGTACAATCAGCCTCTGAAAAATTGCAAACTGAAGTTTTTTCACTTGTTTCATAGTGAATCTCTGTGGGATGC